TTATGAACTACGTCAAGGGCAACCTCATATATTCATTGTGATAGTGTATCTCCTAGACTGTCCGAAATTACTTTTGTGCTAAAGTAATCTATATAACAGATTTGTCATTCCTTCTATAGACTTCAAATTTGAGGAAAACCTCATCTCGTGTGATGTGTTTTCTTTGACAGTTTCAACTGACTTTGTCAGATTTTTGACAAGAGAAAATCAAACCAGCATCTCTAAGAACATTACATTGCATTTGTTTGCAGAGAAACAGTTTTGGATGAATTTGAAATGACTTTTAAATGATGTCACAGTAGCTGCTTTAAAATAGACCCTTAAATCCTTTGTGCTACCAACACCGCTGGCTTAGTTAGTTCTGGGGGGGCTTCATCACTAGCTGAAAGCTGATTGTGTTAGTGGGCTCCTACTCACACGCTTCGAGAGCTTTGGGTTTTGGTAAACAGGACATTGCCATGGCATTTATTGCTATAGCTAGAGGGGGGCATGATTAGGACAGGCTGTGTGACACAGTTTCCATTGCCAGAGCCTGGGGCCTCTGAGCGAGCTGCTCACACCCAACTTTTGGGTCCCTTTTGCTACTTCCCTTCATTACCACTGGCAGAGGCCCCAGTCTACCACTTTAGACCTACTGAGCGTCCATAGTAATCAGAAGTTTTTACTATCTTAAAGGCTGCTAAAAGGCTTCTGGAAAAATGAGTCAGTGTTTTCAGTCTTGTTTTCATTCCACATCCCAAAGCTCATCCGGAGAGGCATCTGTGTTTGCTGCCTCTAGAGAGAGAGAGGCTAATTACTGGACAAAGCTGGGGATTAAGATTCCCTCTAACCTTATGAAAGAAAAGTCCCTCTGGAATGGGGGTTTAGGGCTTATTAGGAGAGTGGTAGGGAGAAGAGGTGTTTCCACTGTGTAATTCTTCCCCACCCTTTCTGGATATAGGACTGAAATGTAGGGGGCTTTTAATCCAACACCTTTGGCAATTGCTAGAAAAACCTTGCAAGTCCCCTAAAGATAGGGCATCTTTTGCCATATATTCAAGCAACAAGACATGACAGGCACTTTATTTCATCGGGTCTGTACACCTTGAATGCATTTTGTGGCATAAGGCCAAAGTACAAATGACTTCAACTCTCATGGAATGCAATATTCTTTCACAAATGCATTAAGATCCTTGCACTGGCTTATTAGTACTAAGACATGAAAATTACTTGAAAACTAAGGAAGAAGAGCAGTTTCTTAAAGACAGGTTCCTAGGGGTCACCACCTTGACAGCCAATAAGAAGCTTCCATTTGCAAATAATGTTCAAAAGACACCTCTTAATATAGTCAGGCTGGAGAAGGTTCTGAAATCTGAGCACAGCTAACTCTTCCTGTATTGCCCAAGGGCAGATGTTGGAGAGGGACATTGGAAAGTGACTTGAGTGTCAGCTTGTAGCCACCCCCACTCCACAACCTCGCCTTCCAGGTTTGGATAATTACAGCTTTCTCATTTTCCTAAAAGATTGCCCAGAATTTCCATGTTTATAAGAGAAGTCTAAATACTTATGGGTCAATTTGGTTTAGAAAAATCTGCCTTTGAGGGGAAGACCCCTGATTGATAGGAACTTGGACTTTCTAAATCCTTCTCTCCCAGAGAGACACACATTTCCAGACGATTAGAGAACTTTAGGTAAGAATGTTACTCTGCCTCTGGCTTTTATGCCTTAAAATATGACCTAAAGCAAGCTATCATTTTTCGGAAATGAAATATGTCATGTGTTACTATTAAAGTGAACCAGAAAAAAGAGTATTCTATTACAATAATGGGTTTTGTTATATAAAAAAGTAAATGTCAAATCCCCAAAGGAATAATATATATCTGATACTATTATTGGAATAGCAATACCAGTAATTACATGAGGGACTTATATTTAGTATTGTTCATATAGTAAAGAAACTTTATGTAAACCTTTCAGTAGAATTATTCTGTTAGAGGAAAATAGAAATAGCATCACTCATTATTTATGCAATCAATATACATTTATTGGGGGGGCAGCATGTCAGTCATCACTCTAAATGCTGAGAATGCAAAGAAGGAAAGTGAGAGAGAAAAAGGCTAGAACATCTTCCTGCCTTCAAGGAACTCACATTCTAGTTGAAGCAGAGATATAGCAACTAACTACATTGAGATGTCACAACAGTTAAAGATTCTAGCAGCCAGGAGAGTGCTACAGAGCACATTTCCTTCTGGCAAGGGAGTCTGCTATCCTTAGTGGCTTTTTAGAATTGAGCTGGAAGTTAAAATAGCAGGATGAAGAGCATATTAGGCAGGTGAAACAGGATGGCATAGGTACAGCACTAGTTTAAAAAAAATGGCGCATTTATGGCGTTGGGTAGCTACAGAGGTAAGCCTTTCAAACTGTCTCATGTCAATACTGGGATGGACCACTTTGAATTGGAGGAACTTAAGAGATTTTTGAACAGTGTAATTTTATAAAATGAATGCATGTTACATTACATTCTATAGGGCCAAAGCTATGAGGCTAGGAGACAAAATACTGCATGGAATAAAACTGTCATTCTCATCATGACTCATCTGTGAACTCAGGAAAATACACTTACTTCAAGAAGTGCAAGAAAATTGCTCACTTCACGTGCTTATGGGTGGGTTGAACCTAATTTTGTAACATTAAAGCAAAATTGCCACTGAGAAAGCATGTCACCAAGAATGGCAGGGACGTTTATAATTATTAATAATATTTGCTATTTCACTGTCACCCATCAGCCTGAAATCAGTCCTGTACACATGGGAACAGATAAGCTTCAGGGGAACAGAGATAATACTAATATAGTAAGTTACACTGCATTTCTATCTTCCATATTTCAAGGGCTTTCGGCTGTGTGTTTTTCTCACCTATAGAAGTTGGTGGACATGGTTATAAATCAGTGATTTTTTAAAAACAAACTCTTACTATAAGCAGTAAAAGAACGAGCCACATTTTGCATACCTGGTGCTCCTAGGAGGATGAGTTATTGGACATATCCATCCCCTTTCCTTGGTTTCTCTGTCTGCCAATTTTATTCTGAGGACACATCAGTGTCTTCATGGATTCTTCAACTTTCTCAAGAGATTAACATGCCATCATCATCACAACTACTACTAACATCTATAAATTACTAACTTTGTACCTGCACTATACTACTCTTCTAAGAACTTGGTATTTTCTCAACATTAATTTCACAGTTAACATTATAGGGTAGCACAGTGCAATAGAACTTTCTGTGATGATCGATATGTTTGGTGTATGCCATCCAATATCTCAACTACTGGCCACAGGTGGTTACTGAACATTTGCAAGGTAGCTGAGGAAATACATTTGTAAAATATATTTATAACTAAAATTTATCAAAATAGCCACATGGAACCCTCATTGGTGGCACAATGATTTAAAGTGCAACACTACACTTCAGCGGGAGTTTGATACCTAGCCAGGGAGGTGACCCACATGGCACAGTAGACCTGTCTGGTGGCCTGCTGCTCCCCTCAGCAATGTACTTCCTGAATGTGCCTGTTCTGCTCCCCACTCTGTCTCTGGTGAGTGCTTACTGCCCCTGCACCTCTGGCCTGTACCCCAGTTCTGTGTGCATAAATAAATAAATCTTCTAAAAAAATAGGCACACGACCACTGAATGCAGAAACTAAATATTTTAAAATAAGTCCAATAGTTTTCCTTTGGAGAGCTTTTATTCCAGCCTCCAGGGAAACATTTAATTCCTATTTGGACCCTTCACATTAAAACCACGCCTCCAGGGCTACTCTGGCTTGTGTGATAATATGTCAACAAAATTAAGATTAAAAAAAAAAAAGCTCAATTGATCAAAAGACTAATTATATCTCTATTTAGGCCACTCTGTAACTTAGATGTTACCCATGCTAGAAAAAGCGAACTTAAGTAGCCCTTGGTTTGAACCACCTGTCGCCAAAAAGTGACATATGTTTGCTTTGTTTACTCAACAACCAAGTGTAAACTGATACACTGCACAAGAAATCCCTGTATGGCATGTGTGTGTGTGAGTGTGTGTGTCTGGGGGTGGGGGCTGCCTGATGAGGGTGTCAATCTCTTTCCCGTCCCTGAGGAACTTGTGCACAAGAGCCTATCGGTGTTGGTGGGGCGTCGGTCCTTGGGTTTGGGGCGCACAGAGGCAGACACACTTCCAACAATGAACAGCTGGGAAGTGAGCCAAAGCCACAGCCTGGGTAGTTTGAATGGAAAGCTACCACCCACCTCTCTTGCGCCTCTTCTCCCCGCCCCTCCCCAGGTCTCAAACTTCACCCCAAACCCTTGCCCTTTCCTTTTAACCCCCTCGATCAAAAGGAGCATTTCTTTTCTTTCCTCAGCAGCGCATTGTCTGGTGTGATAGATTTGCAGATTTGACAGCTGGGCTCACTCAGACTTGACTCAAACTCGGTTTCCCTGAGAGATGAACTTGGACATCTGCAAAGATCCCGAGTACTGAGCTTCAGGACAGTCGTAAGCCAATGAGGCTGTTCCCCAGGCCCCCCTCAGGACCCAGGGTGGACTTGTGCTTGTTTCGGGCGGAGTCCCCGGGCTGCCAGGAAGGGAGCGATTGATTGCCCGGGAGGAGTAGGGGTTCCTGTGCCCTGCAGGACTGTGAACGAGTGATCCCAGGGACTGGGGTGAAGGGCAGTGTATGTGTTGGGCTTTCACGTTCCTTATTTTAAAATTCACGCGAAACAGCCAAGATGGAGGTCAGCTGATAATTTCCTAAAACCAGACCTGACGCGTTTAAAATGCAGCGGGCCTGGGGCTCAGCTTTTGTCTCCTGGTCTAAGCTGCAGGAAAGAGGTAGTGACTGCGTGGGCATGTGCGGGGGTGGGGGCGCTGGTCTGGATGCGAGCGGGGGAGGGGGGGTGCAATCCGCGATCGCGGCTCTGGGGCCCAGAGTCTGGATGCGTCTTTAACGCGCTAAGTCTGAAGTCACAGCCGCGAGTGACGTGGGGCAAAACTTTGTGTTGGGAAGAAGGCCACGACTGCACTAGAACGAAGAAAGAGCCCTTCTGTATTGTGTCCTTTTGTGCTCGCGAGTGTGTGTTTCTGTGTGAGAGAGAATGAGAAAGAGTGGTGGGGGAAAGAGCGAGAGAGCTAGAACGAGCGAGCAACGAGCGAGCGCGCTGGCAGCGCTAGCGGCAGCCGGCTGAATAGCGCTCGGCGTCCTGTGCGCGCGTGCGGGGTCCGGCCCGAGTCCCACCGCCCGCGAGCGGGTTCCTCTGCGGCGTCGGTGCGGAAGCATCCGGAGGGACCGGTGGGAACGCGAGCAGGCCCAGGGTCCTGTGGCTAAATCTGGCCTCGGAGCCCGCTGTCCTCCGCGCTGCTGCGATACCCACTAGCATCCTTGTTCCCGGCATCCAAGCCGGGGACTCTGCTGGGAAATCGTCCGGGCCCAACTCGGTCCTCCCCGCTCTCCAAGGTTACCGCATCTTCTTCCTAGGGCAGAGAAGGGAGCCCAGAAAGAGGCGGAGGCGGGGGCACCCCAAAGAATAAACAAACAAATAAACTGGCTCCATTCTGGAGCTGGACAGAGTCAGTTGAGTCCAGGTTGATGGCGTTTGAAGACAGTTTCCTCATCCGGTCGTTTTGAAAACCCAGGGTCGCTTTCCCTCGCCCCCTCTTGCAGGCACCCCCTCAACTTTGGGGTCCGGGGGCGCAAGACGTGCGCGGCTGCACCTGCCAGGCGCGCGGGGGCTGCGGGCCAGAGCGCTCGCCTGAGGCGGTGGCGTGAATGCGCCCGAGTCCAGGGCTCCGGGAGTGAGCGCGCGGCGCCGACACCCAGGCGGGAGTGGAGGACCTGCGGCTGGCAGGGGCGCCCCAGCCGGGTTTCCGCCCCAGCCGCGACGTCGGTCCCCTGGCCCGGGCGCCTCTGAGAGGACTCGAGCCGCGGGAAAGGAGGACGGCGAGGGTGGACCGCGATTGGTGCTTGGGGTGGGGAGGGCCGGCGGCTGAGCGTGCGAGCTGGAGCGAGGAGGGGGCGGCCAACTTCCAGGGAGAAGGGGCGCGAGCTGGGGCGCTTTCCGCGCGGGAGCTGCCGCCGCCGCGAGCTCCGGCTCCGGGCAGGGCCAGTTCCCTGGCGGCGCTCGGAAAGTAACGTTATTTATTTGCTTGCGTTCAGCTTCTTGGGTCGGATCCGATAGACACCCCCGTTGGACTTTGGGAGTCCGCGTCCGATCTCCCCAGCCCCCCTCTTTCCGGTGCAGGCGGCTCCCCGGAATACTCGCCCAGGCACCCCTAGCGCCCCCTCCTCAAGCTCTGACCCGAGTGGGGGTGGGTCCCAGCCCGGCGCTGAGAAGTCCCCCAAGGCAGGAGCCGGGGAGGGGAGAGGGGCGGGGGGAGGTTCCAGCGCGCTCGGCTCTCCTTTCAAAGCGCGCTCTTCCTTCCAGGTTGGGTCGGACCTGAACCCCTCAAAGCGGAACCTCCTCCCGCCCTCGCGCCGGCCGCCCATCGGGAGCTGAGTCGCCAGCGGAGGTAGCGGTGGACGGACCCAGGAGTTTCCTTTCTCACTGGATGGAGCTGAACTTTGGACGACCAGAGCAGCGCGGCTGTCCGGGGATCGCTGCATGCTGAGCTCCCTCGGCGAGACCCAGCCGAGGCTCAGGATTTTTTGGGGGGGCGGGACCAACCGCGCGCCGGCACCATGTTCCTGGCAACCCTGTACTTCGCCTTGCCGCTCCTGGGTAAGTCGAGGCCGCCCCTAGCTTTCCTGTCGGGGTTTTTACGAGGGGTGCCTGCGGCAGCCCGCCCCCCACACCCGCAGATTGCGGCGCGGGTGCGCTGTGGGCGGAAGGGCAAAGTTTCGTTTTGGGGAAGGGGGTCTTGCATCCTCGACACCCCGGGCTTGGGAGGCGGTGACGGCGCAGCGCTGCAGGCGCAGCTTTTCTGCTTGGCTTTTATTTTTCTGTGGTATTTAATGAGCTAGCCTGGCTGGGAATGAGGGGACCCGAGCAATCCAGCCACAGACTCAGCGCCCCTTGCGAGTCCCGGGGAGCTTGCAGAGGGCCAGCGGGCAGGTGGGGTGTGGACGAACGCTGGATCGGGAGAGTAAACTTCGAAAGGAAAACTTTCCCCCTCACCCTGTCCCCCAAGAGCGTCCTGGTGCTCCCTGCCCGGCTAGCCTCGGGCCGGGGAGCTGCTGCCCCGGCCAGGCCAGCGGCACAGTTCCGAAAGCCCCCGGGCTTCGGGCCGGCGTGGGGGGAGTCGCGACACTGCAACTGGGGACGTGGGAGGGCGGCTCTGGAGGCCGAGCGGCCGTTTCAGTCTGGTGGCTGGAGCCGGCGGGACCCGCACGCACTCGGTGTTGCTCTGGCTTCCCGGCAAAGCGCAGAAAACCCGCAAGCGTCTCTGGAGGAGAGACCCGGGTGGCTGGAGGTCCAGGGCGGGAAATGGACTCCCAGGCGTGGGCTGGGGTGGTGGGTGGGGGGCTGATGCGGCCCCTGCGCCCGGAGCCGCAGAAGCCCGACCAAGCCTGCGCCCTCCGCGGGCGGGCAGCGGGACGGGGCCCCTTTGCGACTGCACTCAGGCGCCCCCCTCCACCCGCAGACGCGCTCCTGGCCGCCGAGGTGATCGGCGGGGACCGCCTGGACTGTGTGAAAGCCAGCGACCAGTGCCAGAAGGAGCAGAGCTGCAGCACCAAGTACCGCACGCTGAGGCAGTGTGTGGCGGGCAAGGAGACCAACTTCAGCCTGACATCCGGCCTGGAGGCCAAGGACGAGTGCCGCAGCGCCATGGAGGCCCTCAAGCAGAAGTCGCTCTACAACTGCCGCTGCAAGAGGGGCATGAAGAAGGAGAAGAACTGCCTGCGCATCTACTGGAGCATGTACCAGAGCCTGCAGGGTACGCCTGGTCGGGCCCCCACTCCTGCCCCCAGGCCTCGGAAGGCAGCGGCCCTGGGCCCCTGGTCTGGCTCTGACCTCATCCTCCACTCACTTCTCCCCAGCTGCAGCAAGAAGACCTTTCATTGGCCCCCAGGGACAGCGGCAGCTGGTGTTTGCTGCCTCCCAAGCAAGAATTGTTGGGGCCTGTTTGTCAGAAAACCCATGAGGGGGTGGGGGACAGCCCCGAGGGCCCCCGCGCTGACCTCTCTGAAACTTGGTCAGAGCAAGAGAAGAAGCCCATTAAAAGTCCCACCTGGGAGCCTCTGCTTAACCTCCCAAGGAGGCCTGAGTCACTGCACAGACTAATACTCCAAAGACTTGCTCCTTCCCTGGCCTGGAGTTTACCCCTTTCTCCTTCCCTTTCAGTGACTCTGACTTAAGCTAAAGAATTCAGTGTAAAAGGTCCAGTAGAATCCACTGTGGCCCCCCTGCCCCCAACACACAACCTGATCAAAGGCATAATGGGGAAAACCATTTGTCATCTTCTTCCATTAGCTGAGTCGCGAACCAGATGGTGTGGTTCAACCTTGGTTAACACAGTGGTGGCTCACAGAGAGAAAGGCCCACTTGTCACAACCATCCATTCCAGTGGGATTTTCTGGGGTTTGTGCTCCAGAGGTGGCTGGTGTTTGTAAATCTAACACAGACACCCAGCAGAGGCCACTGAGACTCTTGCTGAAATTTTGTAATATACAGATTTGATCGCTCAGCTGCCACTTCCTCCAAGAAGCTATTAAAGAAGCCCTATTGCAGAGACTGTTTCATAGCCAGGGGTACCTGCTTTTTGAGTGCTTGCTATGTTTGGGGGGCAGAGGAAACGGGGGCCTCTTTTAGGTCACCTTTCCTCCATTGGCTTCTGGAAGCAAGTTGGGCTTGTGACGTCACTGGCTCCTTCCTCTCTGATTTCATTCCTTTGCAAAGAGTGGGAGAGTTTTCTGGCAAGATCAGGCTGGGTTGCTCTCCAGTGTTTTCATGGCACTCTGGAGAGCGAGGACAACATGGTGGGAATGAAAAGAAATAACCACAGCCAAATAGAGGCATTTGAGATCTTTGAAAGCTTCAGCATCTTTTTTTGTTACACAATCATAACATAATTAGAATTCAGATTCAGTGACAGAAATTGCCTGAAATATGTCTATTTTCCCTGTCTGAGCCTCCTTTTCTGTTGTTTTCAGGAAATGATCTGCTCGAAGATTCCCCCTATGAACCAGTTAACAGCAGATTATCTGATATATTTCGGGTGGTCCCCTTCATACCAGGTAAGCAGATTTATACTTCCACTCTGATGCCTTTGCCTGCTTGAAATCTGTTGGCTTGCCTTCGCTTTGGCTCTCAAATAGTGTCTAAGTAGATAGTGAATGGCACAGTGTTTCTCGGAAATTAGAAAGAGGATGATGATAATAAAGAGGCAGAATGCCTAGAGATGATTGTGACTTCAAAGTAATTCTAAATGAAGTAATGTGGCGTGGTGGTTTGGAAGAGGTTGGAGAGAAGTGACTGAGTTGAATTTTGTTTTACATGAAAATATGATTGGCCAGCTCTGGCAAAGGAAGTGCCGTTTCTGTCTGTAGGTGGCAATCGAATCCCCTTCTTGCTGTACCTCCCACAACAGCATCTCTGAAACCGGATCTGTTCAAATGAAGCCACACATTTTACAAGACATCTGAGGATCGTCTTCAATTGAGGAAGCATTTTGGATAGACTTACCTGCTTTTTTTTCAAAGATTTATTTATTTGTGCATACAGAACTGGGGTCCAGGCCAGAGGCTCAGAGGCAGTGAGAGGCTTCACCAGAGACAGAGTGGGGAGCAGAACAGGCAGATCTAGAAGTACACTGCTGAGGGGAGCAGCGGGCGGGTCAGGAGAGGTCTGCCACACCATGTGGTCACCTCTGGGACAGGCGGGAATCGAACTCATGTGGAAGTGGCTTTAGCTTTTCAGTGGCTGTGCTTTAACCCGCTGCGCCACCAGGGAGGGCTTAGACTTACCTGCTTTTGAGTTAACAATTCGTTATTTTCTAATTCCTCCTGAATAAGTGTGTGCATATAGAATGAGTTAACAATTCGTTATTTTCTAATTCCTCCTGAATAAGTGTGTGCATATAGAATGCATAACTGCCCCATGGCCCTATAAAAAGTAGTCCTGCTTACCCAAGGTTTGTTTTGCCTCACTTAGCAATTCTGCTTTTATCTTGGAAGTGAACTTTGTTTTAAAATGAAGTTTTTCATAACATCTGCATTTAGAGAACCTCATAAATAATGAACAAGACGGTAATTTCTCATAATGACATACAGATTCCAGACTGACTTTGTCTTTATTTGTTTGTAGTTGAAACATTTTCTCAAGTATATAGAGTCATCACAAATGACATGTTCTTGGTGGTTAAACACAGTGGTCAGTGTTAAATTTGACTCTGTGACATGATAGTTTGTTACTGGCAAGAGTGTTTTAGTGTTCTAAATGTTTTGTTTTCCTGCAGAAAGCCACAGAGCCAAGGGAATATGGATTGATATTTCGTGTGGGTGGATTATGCATTCATTTATCGGGCACCTACAGACTTCTGGCCATGTTGGCAGTGAACCAGACAGATGTCATCCTAGCCTCATGAATTTTAGAGGCAGTCACCAATCGACATTTATTAAGCCTTTATTATAAGCCACATGCTGTGTTAAGAGCTGCTGTTTAGTATTATTGTTTCCATTTTAGAGATGAGGCAGTTGAGGCCAGGTGAAATTAAGAAGACTGCCTAGGAATCACCAAGCTCCTCACTAATGGCATCAGAATTTAAAGCTAGACTGGACTGAGTGTAAGCCTTTGTAGCATCTTCCTCTGGGTGCTGAGAGTGTGTTCCTTGACCAGCAGCATTGACATCCATGGGAAGCTGGTGCAGAGACTCATGCCTTATCTTCTGAATCCGTGTTTGCGTGTTAAGAAGAGCTGTGGACTGGCTGCTTCATATGCACATGGAGCTTGAGAAACAGACCTTGACCCTTTGTCTTTGGTTCAGAGGAAGGGTATGCATGAGTGCATGCATGTGTATATTGGAGGTGATCATATATTATCCAGAATAGTGCCCATCATTTCTACTAATGCACTGTCTCCCCTTGCCCAGGTAGGCCAGCATCTCAGACAGTGAAGGAGAGGAGCACAGGCCAGAGAATGTGACCGTCCAGGTTTTCTAGGGGACAGGTCTGTAGAACTAAGGTGGAAATGGCACACGGGGTGCCGGTAGTGACCCTGGATTTCCTAGTGCCTTTGAAGGGCAGTGCCTCTTACCTGCTGCCTGGCCCATGGGAACCTTACTCCTCAGTCTTAAGGATATCCACCTCCCCACGGACAGTGAGCATGAGAATGCAGGCTTTTCATTTCAGGACTGCTAGGATCTTCAGGACTTAGCAGACTCCGTTTTCCTTGCTGCATCCCTCTCAACATGGTATAATGAGGCCATTGGAGTCAATAACCTTCAGCCCTGAGAGTCCAGGATTCCTGGGAAGATTGAAGTTGTGGTAGAATTCCCTCAGCTAGGCACTTCCCCTTGGGACACCTTCATGCTGATTTTGCGCTTTTTACGATAGATGTTAGTCACAGCCTACGGACAGGACTTATTTATGTGTCTGCCTTTCTACTGGAAAGGTAGAGACATGCTCATATCTGTTGGTTGTGTGCTCAGTGCAGGCACCCACTGCTGTCCATTCTTGGGTCACTGTATTCAGAGTGGCTTGGTCATTCCTGGATACCACTGGCTGGTCCCAATTTCTGGACAAGTGTAGGAAGCGCTGCATGGGCCAAGTTCTACTCTTTTACTCTCTGGTTTCCTCTCTCAGCCAGGTTTCCTTTCATAGAAAGTGTGATCCCGAATTGGTAAGACCCGTCCAGCTGAGGACCCAGAAGTCATAATGAATTAGTCAGAGTGAGGAAGGCCTTGTCTGGAGCTCCATCTTACATCTCAAGCGCATTGAATTTAGGTTCCAACACTAATAAGCTTTGACCTCTGACAGCGCTTGTGTGTCTTAAGTGGCTCCGGCAAAGCCAAATGGAGCCTTGAGAGGTTTTAAGTCATTGAATAATGCATATTATCCAGGTTGGCATTTGGAGCGTGGAGGACAGAGAAGCGGGATGATAAATGTTGCTTTTCATGGGTCGAATCTGAGTTTCTAGAACAGTTTCTGCTTTGAAAGCCTCTGAGGAAACCAGGACAACTGGGTCTCTGCCTTTTATAGATAAGGTAGCAATCAGGGTTTCCATATTTGGATTTCTCTGCCCAGTGTTTATCCACATACATTAAATGTGAGCTGAATCCTCTCACGAACAAGGCATGTTGGGCATGCTGTATTTCCATGTTCTCTGGCCTCCTCAAACCGGGGCCAACTCTGCCATTGTTTATTTGATCACTGGTGAGATCTGATCCGTGGATGGCCTGGCCTCTGGGGAAAGAAGGGTCAAAGATAAGATGGGACCTAAACGTAGTCATCTCTGACCTCAAGTCTGAGCTGCAGAGGGGAAATCAGGATGCTTCATCCAGGAGACGGTGGTAGGGTTTGGAGGGCCTGCTCTTGTGGAACCTCAGTAGTGACATCTTTGGTCTGTAAGGTACTTCGAAGACCTGGCAAGATGCTTTTTATGTGGGTTGATGCCCGTGTGGATCTTAGGGGGCGTGGAGCATGAAGAATTGGGTAATGAACTGAAGGATTCAAAGGAAAATGAGCCAGTGCCAGAGGGTGCGAGAGGAGAGAAGAGAATAGCAGGGTGCCCTGGGGTGAGAGGGCAGAGCTGGGTGGGTACTGGGGGCCCAGAGGAAGCAGCCGCAGGGGGTGTTCACTCCTGCTATTCTCCCAGCTGCAACTGTACTCTTTAACCTCCATTCCACCCCACCCTTATTGTCTCATAAAAGTATGCAAGTGGTGGCCCACCCTGGTGGCGCAGTGGGTTAAAGCACAGCACTAAGAAGCTTGGGCCACTTCCACATGAGTTCGATCCCCGCCTGCCCTGGAGGAAATGCACATGGCGTGGCAGACCTCTCCTGACCCGCCCGCTGCTCCCCTCAACAGTATACTTCGTTGATCTGCCTGTTCTGCTCCCTGCTCTGTCTCTGGTGAATCCTCTCAATCTCCGCATCTCTGGCTTGTACCCCAATTCTGTATGAGTAAATAAATCTTTAAAAAAAAAGTATGCAAGTGGCAAGAAGTGATTTAAAATAGTGTTTTGAAAGGAAGACAAACCTGTTGGTGATGTTTTCCGACTTCAGGGGTAGAACAAAGCAGTGAGAGACTTTGAAAGTGCAGTTCGAGGTTGGAGGATCAGAGAACAGACCGAGCCTCTCCAGGAAACCAGGGCACTGAGGTCTGAAAGGATCGACCCGGATGCTGGATTTTGTGAAGAGTTAAGAGATGCAAGGCGTTCTCCGAATTTAATTAAAGGTGGTGACTTTGGAGGAGAATCAAGTGGAAAGGTTGTGGGGGACAACTGATGTCAGGATTTGAACAACCTAAATCTGATGTGTAGTGAGCACACTTCCTGCTCGCTGACCATTTCCCAAGTTCTTAGAGTGACTTCCGCCTGCCAAGGAAGACAGGGGGTCCTGCTCTGGTTCCTCACAGGCCTGGACATGGTTTGATCCAGGATGAGGTGCCCCTGAACTCCCTTCTGAATCCAGCCCCCTTTTTCCTGAGTGATGCTGTGAATAATTAGCCATGTTTAGCTTTTCTGTTTGAATGCACTCTCATAGTTAGGTCACTATTACAAAAAAAAACTTTTCTTAAAGAATCGTACATGTCGAAGAAAAGCTTTATAAGGTCACCCACTGTCTTGTCAAATCATGACAAGAGAAAAGGGCTTGTAAATACCAGCTAGGGGTGTCTGTGGCCCCTTGCTTTCCACTGTCTGAAAGAACTCACTAATTGTGTTGTCTCTGTACTTGGAAGCCCTGTGGCTTCGTGGCTTCCTTGGTATCACTTGGGCATGTATGGTAAACTCCTTGGCAGGCCATGTGTCCCACTGTCCTCTCCCTGCCCCCTGACCCCGTCTCCACTCAAGCTCATTGAGCTAAACCAGGTGTTTTATGCAGATTCTTTGTTCATTTTTTTGTATGTGGCTTTGCCTCTGTTCCGGAAGTTTCTGTTCTTCAAGGCCAAGATCAAATTTCCTCTCCAAGGACCATGCTAAATTCCTCCACACAAGCACTTCCACTTAGGACTTCTTCAGGCTGTGTTTTGCTCTTGTTTGATTTATTATTTTTTAAATATACAGAACTGGGGTACAG